GGGGCTGAGGGTAAAGGGGTATGTGAGGGTGGGGTGAAGAGGTGGGTGGGGAGTGCTCAGGCCCCTTGGCACACAAGCATGGCTCGGAAGTTCTTGCGGAAGCTGTCGTCCAGGAAGGCATAGAGGAAGGGGTTGAGGCATGAGTTGGCATAGCTGAGGCTGGTGATGACGTAGGATGCGCTGATGACCAATGGCGTCTGGGGCAGGTCTGTGGTCAGGGCCACTACGGAGGCCAGGTGAAAGGGTGTCCAGCAGAGGAGGCACACGGCCAGAACAACAAGGACCAGGATGGTGACCTTCCGCCTGGCCTTGCCCAGAGCCTTGGCACTGGAGTGGAGTCGCACGGCCCGCAGCCTGCGCAGCAGGTCCGTGTAGAGCACACATATGGTGCACACGGGCACTGCGAAGCCCAGGACCAGTGTGTAGATGCGGCTGGCCTTGACCCAGGCCCTCTCCGGCTGCGGGAAGCTCAGCCCACAGCTAGGGACCTGCAGGTCATTGTGGTAGACACCAGCGAAGGCAAAGAAGGGCATAACCAGGACCATGACGCCCAGCCAGACACACAGGCTGGCGACCTTGGCCACCCGGGGAGTGCGCCAGGGCGCGCGGCGGGACCGCACAGTGGCCAGCACCACCAGGTAGCGGTCCACGCTCATGACGGCCAGGAAGTAGACGCTGGAGAAGATGTTGCAGTGGTCGATGGCCAGCACCAGCTTGCAGGGCAGCTCCCCAAAGGGCCAGCGCTGTAGCAGGTGCTCGGCGATGCTGATAGGCAGCACCAGCGTAAAGAGCCCGTCGGCGACGGCCAGGTTCAGGATGAACACATTGGTCACTGTCTGCATCTTGGGTGCCCTCAAAATCACACAGATGACGGCCGTGTTGCCAGCCAGTCCTACAGCGCAGATCACAGAGTACACGGTTGGCAGGAGCACATACAAGACCGCCAGTGGTTCAGGGATGGTGGCATTGGTTCTGGTGCCATTGTCCTGAGAGAGGGTGGCGCCCATCACAGAGGGGAAGGAAGAGCTGTTGAGGGGCTCTGGGTGCCCAGCGGCCTGCATCAAGTGGTGGGATGGCTGACAGCTTGTGCCCTGGGTGAGTGGGGGTGCCTCAGAGTTGGGCTTCTGGCAGGGGCCTCCTCGGGCACGATTCTGGGATAGAAACAATCAGAAACTCTGGGATCTGGCCATCAGCAGCCGCCCCAAGCTCTCTAGCAGAGGTTGCAGCCACTTTGCCAGGTCAAGGACATGCAGGGGCACCGTCTAACTGGTCCTGGGGCCAGAGGGAGCCCAGGCAGGTGGAGGGGGTCCTCCCCCAGCCTTCCTCTGGGCAGCCCTTCCAGCAGGTCATTTCCCTCCTCCCAAAGAGAACAGCTGCTGACCAGGGGAGAGGAGACTGGAACTGCTCCCCACCCCACCCCACCCTGGCAAACCCCATGCACAGTCTAAGTAGTATCCATGCAGTCTTTTCAAAAACCCCCTCCCAGATACACCTCTGCCCCTTTAACCTGAAGTGCCTTCCTCCAGAAATCCCTGTGCCTGCCCCTTGCTAGGCCCTCCCTAGAGACACTGCAGACCCCACTGGGCCACCTACTGTTACAGCCACGGACCCTTCTGGTACTTCGAGGATAGAAGTTGGTGGCCTTGGAGTGCTCTTGGTAGTGGTTGGCCCCTGAGACCGGGGGTGAAGCGGGAGGTGTAGGTTCCACAGACAGGCTGGGTCCAGGAGCTCCCAGTCTTGTCCTGCCGTTGCTCAGCCTAGTGAGGTTCCTAGCCCGGTGGCAGCGGATGCTGTGAGGGAGGGAGGCGGATCCCCCTTGCTGACGTGGAACCGGGGAGGCAGCCCCCCCAGCTGCCATCGCGCCTGCAGTCGGCTGTCCCAGGGTTTCCTTCGCTCTCGTTCGCCTGGGCTGAGGTGCATGTGCGTTTCTGTGTACGTGTGCCTGTGTGTCAGGAAAGCTCACGGTGCAGGAGCCTCAGGGTGTGCTCAAGTGTGCAGACAGTGGGAAGCCAAAGGCATTTGTGTCTCCGCCAGTGGGTCATTACGGACCTGGGAACCCTTATCTGTGTACATGGGTGTCCCGGCAGGTCACATGTGTGCATGGTATGTGCCTGTGTGGGCATGTGTGTATACACATGCAAGGACCTGTGTCTTCCTTCCTTTGGCCTGTTTCTGTGGTGAGTTCTGCTTTTATCTGAGGGGGGTCTATGTATATCCTTGGCTGAATGTAGGGTCTGGGGCTCTGTATGCTCTGTATGCTCCCATGGGGAAGCAGAACTTATTGACCAGAGACAACCCCCAGTCCCTCCCACCCACAGCCTGTGCTGTGTGGATGCTGAGCCAAGATGAGTATTTCAGGCCCTCCAGAATGAGCTTGGCACCACCTTCGTCCCAACACCAGGACTGGTGGAGGCCTTGGGTGTGCCTGGAGGGAGTGTGGACCTTGTTGTGGGGGCAGCTTGTCGTGGAGGAAGAGACTGAAGCCCAGGAGGCCAGGGGGTCGTGGAGAGCAGCCACCAGGGAGGCTGCGCTGGGACTGGATGTTGTGCTTTGGGGGTGTTTGTGGGGGTAGAGGTGGTGGGTTAGTTCACAGCTTCTGGAAGCCAGAGACAGGACACCTGTGGTCCAGGTGTTGGCAAGGCTGTGGGCTGGGCCAAGCAGTCATCTTGGGGAGTGAAAGTCTGGCCACAGCTCTCCATGGGCACTGGGGAGTGTCTTGGGCCTCTAATCACCCAGTTGCTGTGGGGTTAGGGCTGGCTGTGCTGGCCTGATTTTGAACATCCCTGTGAGAGGTGCTGGAGCCCCTCCTCTTTGTGCATCTTGGGGGCCCAGGGCTCATGCTGGCACCTCCCTCTACCCCAGCAGCCAGTAGGTAGCCTGTTGGTACTGTTGTACTGCCTTGAGCTCTTGAGTGGGCCTTTTGCACCCCCACTGCCATCCCACATGGCTGTTTCAGAGCCACTTATTGCAGGCTGGTCTTCCCTCCAGTTCTAGGAGGTTGGCCCAGCATCAGAGAGCATTCCTGAGAACTGAATCTTCCCAAGACTCCCACTGTGCTTCTGGCTTTCTCTGAGAAAAACCAGGAGGCAGGAGTCCTCATTCTGCCAGTGTCTGCTACGTCTGTACACCGAGCCCCTTCGAGGCTCCAGCTCGCTCTCTTGCACCCGTCCTGAGACTGGTCTGGCACACCCCCCAACCATGTTCAAGGGAGACAGGGAGGCTTTGGAGACAAACAGGAGGATAAGGACCCTAGGGAAGTGGCTGATGGGGGAATAGGGATCCCAGAGGGATTGATTGAGTGATGGAGACCCTGGTGTTGATGGAGGGGTGGGAACCCCAGGAGGTTAATGGAGGGAATAGGGACCCCAGGGAGTTAAGGGAGGGGTAGGGGAACCCTGAGGTCAATGAGGGGCAAGGGGACCCCAGGGGGGTTGATGGGAGGGTAGGGATTCCAAGGCTTTGATGGGAGCTGCAGGGTGGGGGAACTGAGGATTTGCCAGACACGGGTGCTAAACCCAGGACCCCGGGGAGGCTGGCTATATGTCCTGGGTCATCCAGGCATCAGGACCACAAGTGGGGCAACCCTAGGTGCTCCTTCTCTCCCAAGTAGCACCTCACCTAGCACCTCACCTACGCCTGGCAGCCAAACTTGATCTGGGGATGCCCCAAGTGCGCCCCAGCCCTTGGGGCTTGGAAAGGCAGCTTTGTTCTGCCTGTGGGCTGGGCGTTGTTCCAGCCTGTGAGAATCATTCTGTGGAAATGATTTCCATTTTCAGAAATGAATGGCCTTTTCAGATCAGCCTGTGAGGCACTTGGGTGTGAAGAGTAGGGGTCTGGCAGCAAGGCCACTGAAGATGTCTGAGCACCTCTGGGTGCTGGGGGAGAGGAATAGGAGCATGGGTGCAAGTCCATGAGCATCTGAGCATTGTTATATGTGTCACGTGAAGGTCTTGCAGGGACTCGAGCAGCAGAGCTATGTGACACTGTCCCCCCAAGGCAGCAGCGAGGGAGTCGCACACCCTGTGTGCCTGAGCTCCAGGACAGAGAGAGCCCAAGACATGTTCAGCTCAGCCATTCAGAATTTGTTCTTGCCATCCCACGCAGGTGTGGCAGCCACCCTCCCTCGTCCCTCAGTGTGCCCTGTGACTCCAGTCTTCACACACATGTATGTATACACATGTGCACATGCACACACAGCAGACACACTGACACAGGCACTCACACAGACACATGCGTACACATGTGCATGCATGTCAACCACTCAGCTCAATCCAGCAGGCCCCAGTAGAGGGTGGGCTTGGCTCAGCAGTGGCCCTGCAGGGCAAGTGCTCCCAAGAGGCCTAGGTGGTTAAGACCAGTGGGAGGTCCTGCCCCAGCAGCCTCTAAGTTGGTAATCAGTGAAGACAAATAATTGAGGGCTAGTTCTCCAGGGAAGGAAGTAGTTTCTATAGGGAGCCAGAGAGTGCATGCTGCCATACTCTGGGAAGGGCCGTCTCTCATTTAGACTCAGGACTCCCCACCATGTCACGGGGCACTTGTAGCCTCTCTGTCCTTCCCTTCCAGTTAGTACTGAGCCATCCCCAGGGGCAGTCATGGCTTTGGGGGTTCTGGTCAGTCCTGGACTCTCTTGTGCAGACAGAGGCCACAGGCACCAGGTAGCTGGGCTCAGGGCAGGTGAGAGAGGCTGAGGCAGCTAGCCTGGGTCCCTGCAGGGGCTTCTTCTCAGCTGCCTACAAATACCTCATGCTTAGGCCCAGATTGTTCATCCTCTCAACAATCACTTGCCCAAGAATACAGCAGTGAACAAAGAGGAAGCATTTCCTGCTCTCATGTGCTGGCCCTCAATGGGGGAGGCAGATGGGGAATGAAATAATGAAACATAGGGAACAGCAAAGGAAGGGGAGTTCTGGGGCGACAGCAAGAAGCCTGGAGGGGCCAGGGGGAACCAGGCAAGTGGGGGGCAAGGCCCTGGAAGACAGAGGCCCTCCCTCAGGGCCAAGTCTTTACTCCTGGGACCTGGCGCCAGAAAGGAGGGATCAGGGAGCTGAGCAGGCTGGGGATGGGGCCATAGCCAGGGCCTCCCTGCCATGGGTGATGTAGGGGGCAAGGAGGTCAGAGGTCGGCATGGTCTGTGAGTCTGGCCGGCTGTGGGCAGCACCCACTCTGCCTGGGGCCTCCCTCTCACTTCTGAGCCTGGTCTGGTAAAGCTGTGCCTGCCCTGCCCACGTGCCCCCAGGAAGAGGTGCAGGTAGGTGTCAGGTCTCCCTCAGGGGACCTGGCTACGAAGCTTTTATCGTGACTTAAACACAAAAACAGAAAGGAAGGTGATTACTCCCCCAGGGCCCAGACCCATCTCAGGTTGGGAGCCTTGTTTAAATCAATCGCCAAAGTGCTTGCCGCCTCCTCCCCACCCACAAAGGCCCCAATTCAAGCACTAGAGGGCGGACCTCATGAGGCAATCTTCCCCAGAGTGCTGCTCCCCCACCTCCCTGCCCTCCCTGCCCTGGTGAAGGAGCTCAGGCCCCAACAACCAGGAACAGCCCTCCTCCCCCTCAAAGCTCAATTCCAGAGGGCTTCCCCGAGGTGGTGCTGCATCTGGTCTTGGGGCATGTCCCTGGGTCATCTCAGTGGTAGTCAGTGTGGCTAGAGATATAAAGTCCTCTGTGGACAGGAGAGGGCTGAAAGGTGTCTTGTCCTGTCTGCAGGCCTTGGAGACCATGGGCATGGGTATAGTGGGCAGGTGCCTATCTTTGAGTCTCCAGTGGGAGGGGTTTACTCAAGCATGTCAGGCATGTGAACACTCATGTGGGTGGGCAGGAGTGTGTGTATATCCTGTGACACCCTCCCCTGGTGCCTGGAGATGGGCCCAGGAGTGTCTGAGAGCTGGTGCTGAGTGACCAGGAGCCTGGTTTCCTCGACAGGCGGTAGTTTTTCTTGAATGATCCTCCGATGGGCAGGGTGGGTTTATGCCTAATCTGGAGGCTTTCAACTCCCTTGATGGCTCCTGCAGTCTCTGTGACTTAGACAAGAAAGCCAGGCCTCGTGGGGGGCCCTGCAGGTG